AAGGGGGAGGGGGGGGAGGGAGGTGAGTGATTACCTGGGACCAGGGATGGGGGGAAGGTGATTCAGTGCAAAAGAGTGCAAGGTAACTTTTTAGGAGATGAAATTATTTTCCATATTTTTATAGTGATGGTGGTTACACTATTATATACAATAACCAAAAGTCATTAAGCAGTACATTTAAAATTAATAAATTATATTTTATGTAAATAACTAAAATAAGGGTGTGTTACTTTTTTTTTAAGGGCATCATGTTACATTTAATCTTTTGGGACTACACTTTTTAATATTTTATTGCTAAGATTCATCCATACTACCACACTATGTGTCACTGTAGTTCATTTGTTTCGACAGCTGTATAATATTTCATTGTGTGAATATTCTAGTTTATTTAATACTCTTGTTCATGGGCATTTGGGTTTGCCTCTGAGGCCAGGGCTGCTATGAACATTCCTGTACATGTCTCCCAGTCTACATTTATGAATTTCTCTTGGATTTATCCCAGGTACTGCAATAACTGGGTGGTAGAGTAGGTTAATATTCAATTACAGGAGACAAACTGTTTTTCAAAGTACTTCTCTGCTTTTCTTACCTGGGTCTCTCTGTCTCCAATTAGTCTGGGCCCACAGGGGCAAAAGAACCTCTCCTCTTGGATTATCACTGCTTAGCATTCAACTAGCACCAGCCTGCATACCCAGGAGGCCAAGGGCAGAAGTCCAAGCACCTACGTAAACAACAGGGAGGGAGCACATCCCACACAAGAAGCTAATTATGATTCTACTTCCTATATATCCATCTTCCTAGGTTCCCTAGGATTTTGAGTCTGGAAGGTGTCCCAGGGACATGAGTTACAATGCAAATCCCAAGAAAGGAAAAAACTTAATCTAAAATCTTTCTCAATAGCCCTAGCCAGCTTGGCTCAGTGGTTAGACCGTCGGCCAGTGGACCAAAGGGTCCCAGGTTCAATTCTGGCCAAGGGCAAGTACCTTGGTTGCAGGCTTGGTCCCAGTGGGGGCTTGAGCAGGAGGCAACCATTCAATGTGTCTCTCTCACATCTATCTTTCTTTATCTCCCTTCCACTCTCTCTGAAAAAATAAAATAAAGTAAAACCTTTCTCAGCTGACACCTCTAATACCTAAATAAAGATTAGCAGGAAAGGAATAAAGAAAAAAGGAAGTGACAGAAGAGGAAAAGAAAGGATAAAGTGTGAAGAACTAAGAATACCAGTGTTCTAAAATTATGTGCCCTTTTCTGCACAAGGTCCAGTTTTTCAGGAAGAAAAAATTTAATAAAAAAAGCAATATCTACAAGTGACCACAAGCAATTTTTAATATCCCTGTCATTAAGTTTTGCTTTATTTGTGCTAAAGTTACAAAAACAACATAACTAGCATGCAAATAGTAAAATGATGTAATGTTGCTCCCAAAACACACTGTGTGAGGTGAGGCCCTATGATGCTGGAGGAAGAACTCTGAGTGATTTGAGGTGTGCCAAACAACTGGCACCAGAGCTCAGCCACAGACCAGGAACAAGGAAAAACAAAACAAAAGAAAAAAAGAACAGAATATAATAATACATTAGGAAATTCCTAGGTGCTCAAAAAGCAAAGGAGGAGCACTGCCATTCCCAAGGATGAGCATCATTATCCCCCACAATCCCAACTGCTACATCTCCAGCAGCCCCCTGGCTACCTGCCATACATGAGTTCAAGGAATACTTGCTAGAGGATTAAACAAAAGAAGAGACACACACAGGAGTTACACAGCCCTGTGGGAGAGCAGCTTCCCCAGCCACAATTGGGCAGCAGTGCTGTTGGCAGGAGGAGGAATAGCTGGAATTATTCAGCTCAGGAGAGCTTTCTCATTGTAAATAAGGAGACTGTATTGGCTTAACATTTTCAGTTACTTGTTTCTTATATTAGATCATAGGCCATATGGAAAAACTAAGGTAGACTTGTTTGGGCCCACCGACTGCTCAAGACTGATCATGCAAAACCACTTCAAGTGTAAGAGGGGCTCTGTAACCAGAAGCCTTTAACCAGACTGAGGTCCTGGGCATTGGGCACCTAGGAGCTAGTGCTCAGTAGCAGCAGCTGGTACAAGTAGAACTAACAGTACTTGGAGTAACATAAGGCCCCCAACCACAGCCTTAGCTCTATGGAGCTTCAACAGTTTTATTGGCTAAATGCTTCTTTCCAAGTTTACAGTTTAAAGTATGGGCCTGCTCACTGGCTCCTCCTCCTAAGCCCCCAATGGGACAGGAACCTTTAGTACAGGCTTAGAGATGGGAAGTGAGGGGTGGGATATAATAAGTGAGCTAGAAACCTGATGCTCCACAATTGGACAGCAGGATAGAAAAACTCCTACTTCCTGTTGCTAAAAACTATCTATAGAAAGACTTGAACAGGATGGAGACAGGACCCAGAGTGCATCTTTGCCAATTGTCTCAGTTTCTGGTGCCTCCATGGGAGTACACCCTTTGTCTTCACACAGGGCTCCAGGAACAGGGTGATGCTATGTCAGTCTACACATTTTGCAAAAGTACATAGGCCCAAAATTGGCCATGAGATTCGGGATTACCAGCTCCCCAACCTGGCAGGATAGGAAAAAAGAGAATGTGTCCATGAAAAGCTTTCGGAAGTGAGTTAGGTCTTCCACCTGAACTTCGATGTTATATTGATTGGCCAGGAGCTCGATAGTGCCTTGAACCACATACTCATTCTGTAAGTGTGAGAGTGAGCAGGTGGAATAGACAACGTGGCCTCCTGGTTTGGTGGCAAGGAGTCCAGCCCTGAAATCAGAAAAAGACAAAACAGTAACTAGTGAGCTTCCCAGAATTAAGAGGGCAACAGGAGCTGGAAGCATGGATAGAAGTGTCTACTATGGGATAGATAGCTGTGTTAGACAGCCTCTGCAGTCTCTCCCAAAATGAAAACTCATTCTCAAGGCAAACAGCAACCCAAACTTACACCATGGGCTCTCCTCTAGAAACATTCTTGCAATGATCCCCTGAGCTCTGGCTCTAGTTATGAACCAAACTCTGATGCTGGATGGATTGAGTCCTTACCCCAGCCCTACAGAATCTTGACCCCAGCAACTATTTTTCAAACTTGAGCTACTTATTGGTACTGGGACTAGCATGGAGGTAAGTGAACGTAAGTGAAGCTGTGCAGCCCACCCTGCTATGCATGTCCTACCACATAGAGTTTTTATGTTCTCGAGAAGGACCATCCCATGATGTTCGTATCCTCAAGGCAGGTCCTCAGTCAGAAGACCCTTCTATTGGTGATGGTCTTGGCAAAAGCTTCCAGTCCCCCAGGTGACCAGACACCCAGAGCACTCTGGCACAAAGTTTTGAGTTTTTGTAAATCTATCACTCACGCAAGAAGCTGCACCTGCAGCATAGGTAACATCTGCCGCTCCTTCTTTCTCGACCGCTGAAAAATGTTGTTCTCCTCCTCATGAAGGGAGTGGCGATCTGTGGTGCAGGGCACATCCACCAGCACCTGCCCAGAAGGATTAAAGGGTAAAGTATTAGAGCTCCTTAAGGCCAGGGCTGTTTTAGGCCCCTAATTTGGAGGTTTTGCAGAGAGCTCCCTCTGCCCATGCTTCCATTGCAGAGTACCTAACAAAGCTTCTCATTTGAACCTGGTAGACGACTGTGAAATAATGAGTGGGAAAACAGTATGTTTAGGTATACTCAATGGCTGGTGAAAAAAATAAAACCAACACACAAATAGCTATTATTAAATAACTGATATCAACCTACGAGAAGTCTTTAGTGTTTCAGAGCTCTGTCCCTGATTTGGTCCGTAGCTATTTGAATAAAAACATCCAATTTACAGATCATATAATGCCCAGAAGGTAGCTAATAGACTCAATAACAGGATCAGGATTTAAAATACCTTATGTTACCCTGGTCAGGTAGCTCAGTTGGTTAGAGTGTCGTCCCAATATGCCAAGGTTGAGAGTTTGATCCCCAGTCAGGGCACACACAAGAATCAGCCAATGAATGCATAAATAAGTGGAAAAACAAATCCATATTTCTCTCTCCCTCTCTCCCCCTTCTACTCTCTCTCTAAAATCAATCACATTTTTAAAATACCTTTTTAAAAAAATTTATCTTTATTGTTGAAAGTATTACAGATGTTCCCTATTTTTCCCCATTGACTCCCTCCACCCGATACCCACCAAAAATAAAATATCTTATGCTAAAACAATGTCATGTCATATCCAATATGAAAAGTATTAAAGTGAGAAATGTAAAGTCATTCATTTACTAAGAGCCTACTCTGTGCTAGGCACTAAAAACAAAAACAACAAAAAAATCTTTTTTTAAAAAAATACCCCAGGATATTTTTTCCATTGCTTTTCAGAGACAGTCGAAAGGAGAGAGAGAGAGAGAAACATTGATGTGAGAGAGACACACTGATTGGTTGCCTCTGGCATGGGCCCCGACCAGGGCCAGGGATTAAGCCTGCAACTGAGGTAGTGCCCTTGGCTGGAATCAACCCAGATTCCTTCAGTCCACAGGCTGACACTCTAACCACTGAGCAAAACCAGCGAGGGCCAAAAAAACCTGTTTTTAATTGTCCTATATTTATATTTCAAAAAAGTAAAATCATCTGGGAAAAGATCTGTTCGTTTTTAGTTAAACAGAAACTCCAAGTAAATTAATAATGACCCATTGTTCAATATTCTGATGTATTCATAGGCTGTATGAATTGACATAGTACATACAGAGTAGAGAAATAATGATTACCTTGTATTCTGGTCAGGTCCCATATCTCAAGAACTGTGATGGGGCTGGCCTTCACAGGAAAAAGAAACATCAAATGGGGATGCCCAGAGAAGGGCCACTGGGATGTTTAGAAAACACATCACAGAAGTAAGTAATACTTCTGTTTCCAGCAATGCAGTGAACTAGATGTCCTGAGAACCCTTGTAATACAAAATACCTAAAGATTGGATAAAATAAATCTTAAAAATACTTTTAACACATAGTTCATAGAAAATTAGAGAAATTCTCAAAAGCCAAAGAAAAAGCAGGAGCACAACCCCGGTAAGGTGGCTTCGTTGGTTGGAGTGTCATCTCGTACACCAAAAAGGTTTCTGGTTTGATTTCTGGTTGGGGCGCACACCAAGGTTGCAGTTTTGATCCCGGGTCGGGGTGTGTATAGGAGGCAACCGATTGATGTTTTTCTTTCTCTCCCTTCCCCCCTCTCTAAAATCAATAAACATAGCCTCAGGTGAAGACTAAAAATAAAAGCAGGAGCACAAATCTAGGAAGGCATGCTGGAGCTGACGCCAATGGCTTCTATCTTTTACCAAATCCCCAGTAACCCACACACACACCCCCAAAAAAAGACAGAAAATAGGGCCCATCTGAGGTAGGAAATTGGAATGGAAATCCATAGCAAAGGCAAAATCATCAAAGGGCTACACTATCAAAGAATGAACTAGATAAAAAATCAGCCCATAATAGACAAGAGAACTCGTCTGTTTTGGCTTTAACTCTGAGCAAAAAGAAAAAAAGAATCTCTCTGAAAATTTGTAACCACTAAGGTAGAAGGTGCAAATTCATAATGCCTGCATGATCCAGACAACCACATATAAAGCAATTAATGGTCCTGGGTTGACAGATCCTCCAAACACCTGGAAAAAGCAAATGCAGGTCCCGTTCTGGAGGAATGCAAATCCTCTAATTAACTAGGGCTCTATAATTAACTAGGCAATGATCATAAACTGATAATAAACAAAATCAGGTTTTCTCAATCCTAGTAAAGGCAGAATAGCTTGTTGCAAAACCAAGCTGGAACAACTGGAAATACTTAACAAAATGTTTAAAATATCTACCTGAAGTCATTAAAGACCTACTAAGGAAGCAAGAATTTGAGGGACTATAGGTAGGAATGTAGGCTGGCACAATCATTTGGAAAACTGTTTGACAGTATTGACTGAAGTTGAACATATACATAGTCTATGACCCAACAATTCAACAGAAATGGGTACATAAGTGCACTAAAAAAAATTTACAAGACTGTTCATAGCAATGCTGTTTGTAATTGCCCAAAACTGGAAATAACCCAATTGTCTATTATGAATAGAATGGACAAATAAATTGGTTTGTTTTGTCTTAAGCTTTGTGTGTGTTTTTCTTTTTTAATCCTCTCCTGAGGATATTTTTCCCATTGCTTTTTAAATTATATATGCATACTATGGGACATAATCCAGCAACGACAATGAACAAGCCACTGCTACAGGCAACAACATGGATGAAACTCACAAACATAATGTTGAGAGAAAAAACTCAGACAAGAGTACTTACTATATGATTACATTATATAAAGTTAAAAAATCTATGCTTTTCGAAGCCAGAATTGTGATTACCTCCAGAAGGGTAGAAAGGGGCATAAGGGTTTCTAGAATGTTGGTAATATAGTTCTTGAAAGGGTAGTAGTAAAACTGTATAAGTGTATTTCATAAAAGAATTTTTTTTTTTAATTGATTTCAGAAGGGAGTGGGAGAGAGAGAAACATCAATGATGAGAGAGTCATTGATCGGCTGCCTCCTGCATGCCCCCTACTGTGGATCAAGCCCAAAACCCAAGCATGTGCCCTGACCAAACCAAGATGTTGTTCATGGATTGACGCTCAACCACTGAGGCATGCCAGCTGGGCATAAAAGATAATTCTTAAGCAGTTACATTTATGATTTGATCACTTCTGTGTTAAACTCCAATAGGCAAGTTATTAGAAAATTATGACAAGTAACAAAAATAACCACAAAACTTAAAAAGAAGCAAGCCTCCTTGAACAGAGTTTTAGCAGAAACTACAACCAATATAATTAAACCCCCAAACAGTTTTGATATTGAAATGATCTAATGTAGAACTAGAATATAAACCTTCCTAAATAGCAAAAGAAATGAAAACAAAAAGAGTAAAGAAAAGGGATCACATAGTGAAAGAAACAGTGAATAAAATAAACACAGTAAAATAATTTAGCAGAGCCTGGCCAGTGTGGCTCAGTTGGTTGAGCATTGTTCCCTGCACCAAGAGGTCGCTGGTTCAATTCCTGGTCAGGGTACACGCCAGGGTTTGGAGCTCTATCCCCAGTACGGGGTGTTCAGGAGGCAGCTGATCAATGTATCTCATTGATGTTTCTATCTCTCTCTTCCTCTCAAATCAATAAAAACATATATTGAAAATAAATAAAGTAATTTGACAGAGCTGAGACAAATTTATTAGTGACATCAACTGTTTTAAAGTAATAAAATTCACATGTTCATTTACAAAGCAAAATACAATTCTATACAGTATAGAAGAGACACACCTAAAAGGAAGTGATTCAACAAGGCTAAATATAAAGGGATGGGCAAAGGTATAACTGCAATGCATATAAAAAGAAAACTGTGAATCTGCACACAACTATTTGTTCAACAAATAACTTAACAAAGACATCTTCAGATATTAAAATTGTTTTCAAATGTCCTGCACGAGCCCCAACTGGGGCTGGGGATGGAGCCTGCAACTGAGGTACATGCCCTTGGCCGGAACTGAATCGGAAACCCTTTAGTTCACAGGCTGATGCTCTAACCACTGAGTCAAACTGACTAGGGCTCATTATTTTTATTTTTACTTTTTATTTTTAAAATATGTTTTTATTGATTTTGAAAAGAAGGAAGAGGGAGAGAGAAATAGAAACATCAATGATGAGAGTCATTGATTGGCTGCCTCCTCCATGTCCCCTACTGGGGACTGAGCCCACAACCTGGGCATGTGTCCTGACCGGGAATCGAACCGTGACCTCCTGGTTTATAGGTTGACACTCAACCACTGAGCCATGCCGGGTAGGCTCATCATTTTTATTATTTCCATTCATTGATCCTAGCTATGCCTTCTGGAACAATAAAGAATGAGCTGCCTTTCCCTTCTGGCCTGTACAGTTTCTGATGAGGAATCAACTGACAGGCTTATGGGAGCTCCTTGTAAGTAACAGATTGCTTTTCTCTAGCTGCCTTTAAGATTCTGTCTTGAATTTTTTGCATTTTAATTATGATGTGTCTGGGCGTGGGCCTCTTTAGGTTCTTCTTGCTTGGAACTTTCTGTGTGTACTGAACTTGTGTGACTTTTTCCTTCAGCAGGTTAGGGAAGTTTTCTGCCATTATTTCTTCAAACAGGTTCTCTAACCCTTGCTTACTTTCTACATCTTCTGGCAGTCCTATAATGTGAATATTGTTGTTTCATGTACCACAGCTCTCTCAAACTATTCTCCTGTTTTTAATTGTTTTTTCTTTTTGGTTCTCTGATTTTCTACCCTGTCTCTAATTCACTGATCTGATCCTCAGCTTCCCCTAATCTGTTGTTTATTCCTTCCAATGTTTGTTTGGGGGTTTTTATTTCTACTATGTCATTGTTAATTTCCTTCATAGTTTCCATTTCTTTTCTCATGCTGTTGAGCATCCTTATGATAAGTATTCTGAACGCTATATCTGATAGTTTGCTTATCTCCATTTCATTTAGCTCTTCTTCTAGAGGATTCTTTTGTTCTTTCATTTGGGGCTTTTTTGTCTCATCATTTTGGCTGCCTGTTTGGATTTGTTTCTATTAGGTAGATGTGCTAGGAATCCCAGTTTTTTGGATGGTCTCTGGTGCAGGCCAATGTCAGATGCTGTTTGTGACTGGTCTTTACTACCTTGTTTGAAGGGAGTCATAAGTCCACAGCTTGTGACTCCCTCTGCTGGGGCTGGGTGCGTTTGGAAAGGACTAAGATGGGCACCAAGGTCTGCTTTCCCAAGCCCTGGGTCCAGGAGCAAATCAGGCAAAGACACAAAGCACCCAGAGGTTGATTGTTATTCAGTCTCTTAATGAGCCTCAGGCTGTAGAAACTCCACAGGGTGGGGCAAGAGGTTTTCCAATGGATGGGACAATTGCTTCCCCCCTCAGGCAAAAGCTGCTTGGATTATAAATGTCTGCCTGAGAAAATTTCCTCTGCCATATGGGGGAATGACTCAGCACAGGAATTCAGAGGGATGCCCTCTGAGCTCTATCCCCAGAGCCAGCACCCTTGGACTCTTCTCACACAGCTCTAGTCCACTCTGCCCTCCTTCCGCCAGTGGAGCCCAAGGTGAGTGGCTGCACGTGAAACTTTGTGCATTGGCCCTTTAAGAAGGTGCCTGCGTTCCCAGACATCTCTCCCTGGCAGACAGAAACCCTGCCTCTTTTCACAGTCAGATGTTATGTGGGCACGTTTCTCAGTTCTGGTGTTCTGGGCTAGAGTGCCCAACTTGGGGTTTAGACCCAGAGTTCTCAGAGGGAACACCCCACAGCTGAAATATCCCTCTGGAACTTCAGCTGCTGCCTGTGGGAGCCCAGCCAGCCCTCGTGCTTCCCCACTTCCTACCAGTCTCTAGGCAGTCTCCGTTTTACATCCTTGCTTATGAGGGTGCTCTCCAGGTAGTCTTCAGTTGATTATTCAGGATGGTTTTTCTATATTTTAGTTGTAATTACAGCTTGGTCCTGGTAGAGTGTCAGTGTAGCTTCCACTCAATCTGCCGCCATCTTGGAGTCCCCCCATTCCTTTTTTTTAAATGTTTTTATTGATTTCAGAGAGAGGGAGGGAGAGGTAGAGAACTAGAAACATCAATGATGAAAGAGTCATTGATCAGCTGCCTCCTGCATGCCCCCCACTGAGAATTGAGCCCACAACCCGGCATGTGCCCGGACTGGGAATCAAACCATTATTTCCTGGTTCATGGGTTAATGCTCAACCACTGAACCACACCAGCCAGATGACCATTCCTTTTTTTTTTTTTAAATACACACACATTTATATTTATATAAACACAAACAGTACGTTTTCAAGGATACAGAAGAAAATATAAACAATGGTCATCTGTAGGGAGAGGAGTAGATGGCTGTAAGACAGGAGTAAGAGGGAAATGTACTTTTCACTGGATACCCTTTTGTGCCTTCTGATTTTTGCACCATGTGCTGTATTAATACTCAAAAATAAAATGAGCTTATTCATACTTAAAAAACATTTTTTTTAAATCCTCACCTGAGGATGTGTTTTTATTGATTTCAGAGAGAGAGGAAGGGGGAGGGAGGGAGGGGGAGGGGGAGAGAGAGAGAGAGAGAGAGAGAGAAAACATCGATGTGAGAGAGAAACATCAATCTCATTGATCAGTTGCCTCTCGTATGCAACCTGACCGGGGATCAAACCTGCAACACAGGCATGTGTCCTGGCCAGGAATCAAAGCAGCAACTCTTTTGGTGTATGGGATGATGCTCCAACCGAATGTGCCACCCAGCCAGGGCTCATACTTATTTTAATGAGGGTTTCTGAGCAACCAAGTGAGTTGAGAAATAAAATAAGCCTAATAATTTTTTTTTACACTCAGTCAGATTTAAACTCTTTTTTGCTGCTGTCTCTAATGAAGATAGTAGTAGCCAGTCATCTAAGCTGAACTGACAATTCTTCAGATGACTGTTTTCTCCAAATCCCCATGGAGAGCTGACCAGGTCCAGAAACAGCCCTACATGCCCAAACATGTAGGGCTCAATCCTACTGCCCAGAGCCTGTAGTCAGGATGAGGAGGTCAGATTTAGCTGGCTGATGTCCCAGGTCAGGAATCACTCACCCGGTCATAGGTGTCCCCCTCCAGTTCTCCCCACTTCCTGCCATCCCATGAGGTGACTCGAACTCGACTCTTATCCCTAATATCTTGTGGTACATAGCTGTGAAGGACCTTCTGAAGTCTGCCTGTTCGGGAAGTGGAGAGATCATTGGCAGCAAGATTGCCTGTGGGAATATAAATTTTAGGATTGTTTCTTTACTTCTGTAAAAAATGCCATTGGAATCTCAATAGGGATTGCACTGAATCTATAGATGGCTTTGGGTAGTACAGACATTTTATGCCTGTGGGAATTAAGAAACTTCAGAGGCCATGGCCCAACAAAACAGCCCACAAGCAACGGTGCTAAAGCCAACAATAAAACAGGTTGCAAAAAGAAAGAAGGCACCCAAGTCCCTGATGATTGTGGAGCCTCCATACCAGCCCTGGACTGTTTATATCCCTTCTCTCATGTAAGAGGGAAATGAACTTTTCTACTTTAATCCAGTTAGTTGAGTTTACTATTGAATATGACGAAACTAAATCCTAATTGATTCACCATCTATCTTCCATTTTCCCTTTTGTAACAGACACAAGTTCAAGAAATATTTCACTTTGCTCTTGGTGCTACAATAAGAAAAAATATTACTGCAAGCTTGATGATCAACAGCAGTTGATACCTGGCCTCAGAGTCAAGGAGTGAAATAGAGGTGGGAAGTGTGGTCAGAACTAGAGAGTGAATGTATAGTAACAGAAGAAAACTAGACTTTGAGTGGTGAGCATACAATAGAGTATACAGATATAGAATTATAATGTACACCTAAAATTTATATGTTATTAACCAAGGTTATCTCAATAAATTTCATTTTTGACAAAAGAAATAAAAAGAACTAGAGAGTGCATACCTTATCTAGTGGGAGTGGTCACTACTATAAAACAATTTAGTGTTCCCACAAAGAAATATGGTCCCAGTTTTTGAGGACATCAAGGAAGTAAAAATTGGATTCTCTGTTCAAGGGAATTTGCAGTTGAATATGACATGAACTGAGAACAGAAAAGCTGGGTCCTGTTCTCACTCTACCTTCAACTTATGTAAAAGGTTTAAATGATTTAATCTTTCCATGGCTCAATTTCCCCTTCCATAAAAATATGAGGGCTGGACTAGGTAAACTCTAAGTTCCCTTCAGGCACTGCAATTCCTGTCTCTCTGGGATCAAGGAATCACTGGGATGAGGGTGAGTTGCTGGTAATTCAGCACACCTTAGAAGAGCAGCTCTTAAGTATGTCTCCTTGGCCCTTCTAGCTCCTCTTAGTTCAAGTTCCTCCTCTTCCAAGTAACCCTACTTATATCATCCCTCTTCTGCTGGATTCCCACATCATTCAGTAAGATCAGCACAGCTCAGCACCCAGGCTGGGCTCTCTTGCATTGTATGGTAACAGAAGATATTGTGCCATATCAATATCTTTTCTCCTTTCCCTCTGGACTTCCAGAAGACTGAGATCAAATGTGGTACCTCTCGGGTGGTAAAGGCCTGCAGCGGGGCAGGATCGGGTGGAGGGGGGCAATGGTGGGGAGGGAAAGGGGGAGACATCTGCAGCACTCTTAACAATAAAGAGTTAAATTTTTAAAAAGAAAGTAATTTAATTCAGGGGGGAAAAATGTGGTACCTCTCTAGAATTATCCATGGGGCCTGCCATGAGGCTGGAAGCTAACTCAAAGTTGTCTGATGAGAACTAGAAAAGAAGGGTCCAGGCCCAACCAAAAGGATAGGACATATTGCAAGAGAAGCCTGTCTGAGGGCCAGGATGAGTGTGAAAATCATCGCCCCCTTGTGGACATCTGTTAGGTCCTCACCGAGAAAACGCTGCCTATTTTAAGGCAGGACGTAGGCCAGTGGATGGCTGAAGTGAACACTTAAAGTGCACAAGGCCCAGGATAGGTTATACTACTGAAATGATATGACTTGGGCCTGTCCCCAAGGAAGAGGGAGAAGATGCATACCCAGGAAAGCTCTAATGCAAGGCTAATAATGTGCTAACAGTTAGTTGCAAGGGTCATGCCCATGATTGGGCGCAAAAGAGAGAGAAGCATCACTTCTCAGCTGGCCAGTAGAGGTCATGAGGAAAAACTTCCAGAGGTGGCACAGGTGAGCTGAGGCTTAAAAGTTAAAAGGATGTAGAGAGGCCAGCTGGGATCGGGTAGAGTATTCTAGAGAGAAAACCACAGGAACAAAGGGAGGGGGGCTAATTTGGGCAACAGAGAGTAGCAGGATATGACCTGCATATAAAGCCTAGGGAAGAATAACATAAAATTATAAAGGGTAGCTGCAGCCAGATCTTATACTTTAGCTGGCAGACTAAGGAAATGGAACTTAATCTTGGAGACAAAGGAAACAGGAATGAACGTATCATGTGGTAGACTGACCAAGGCACTACTTTAATCTGCTTTCAGAGACATTGCTCTGCTCAGCAATCTTCCTTGGAAAACTGACAGAGAAATAGAGGAAATAATCACCAACAGAAAATATACCAGCCAGCACTATCCCCTTGCTGACCTTAGGACCAGAGAGCCCATCATATTTAGTGTGTCCTTGACTGGGTGAGGTAGGGAGTCCTCCCTGCCCAAGACACCAGCCCTCTTACTTACGGCAACAGCCAGTCTGAAGCAATGCTAGTGTCTTTCCCCCAGGGGCTGCACATAAGTCAAGCACCGTGTCACCAGGCTGCAGGCCAAGGGCCAGGACAGGCAGCAAAGAGGCAGCATCCATCAGGTAGTAGTCCATGACACCCAGGCTGCAAAGCCTAGAAGAGAGAAGAGCACAGTATTGTCAAATTCCAAGTCAGAAGACCCACTGGGAGTCAAAGTCATCAGGTCCAGGTCCTCAGGGGCTACTGAGCTCTATTCAACAAAAACTCATTTCTCAAGTCCACACTCATTTATTTACTCACTCACCCATTCATCTACACAGCAGCCAGAGTAATCCTTTTAAAATACATATCAATCTACTCTAATGTAGCCCCACTAGCCATCTTGCTATTCCTTAATTAAGTCATGCCTGCTCCTGTCTCTCGGGCTTTTTTTGTTGCTGTACCTTCTGCCTGCAACACTCTTGCCCCAAATATCCCTCATTTGTTTCCTCACTTCTTCAGGTCTCTCCTCACAATTTACTTCATCAAAAGGCACTGGCATTCCCTGACCTATCTAAAAATAGAAGCCACCTACTCCAATCACCTTCTATCTCTCTATCTTGCATTATTTTTCTTTTTTCTTTAAAGCACTTATTATTCATTTTATACATATAGGGGTGTGTGTGTGTGTGTGTTTCCCCTCTATCTCTCCCTATTAGAATGAGGACAGGAATTTTGCCTGCTTTGTTCATCATAATATCCCCAACACCTGAAATAGTTCCTGGCATATAGTAGAAACCCAGTTTTATTGGGTTACATACTGAGATACAAAGTACTTTGTGGGTTCAGAGAAGAGTGCCATCAGTTGTGCTTGTCAGAGACCTGAGTTAGGCCAGATGAAGGAATAGGCCTTCATCGGGTAAAAAAGAAAATAAAGAAAAAAGGACAAAAGGAGACTGGACTTGGGGTGGCAAACACACACTACTATATACAGATTATGTATTATAGAACTTCACACCTGTAACCTATATAATTTTATTAACCAGTGTCACCCCAATAAATTCAAATAAAAATAATCATAATATTAAAAAAAGAAAAGAAGCATTCCAAGCAGAAGAAAAAAGAAGCAAAGGAACAGAAGCGTGCAAACTCATAGCTTCTTTGAGAAGCAGTGGTAATCTGGTAATCTGGTGTGGTAGAAATACAAGGTACATGAGATTAAGGTTGGGAAGAAGATAGAGGCCAGGTTGGAAAAGGTCTTAAACCCTTTGCTAAAGAGTTTGGACTATAACCGGTAGGCAGATACTAAAAGTTTAAGGAAAATGACGTGATCTGATCATCTAGATCAGGAGTGGGGAACATCTGGCCTGCAGACCAAAATCATTTGGTCTGGCCCTTCCAAGGCAACCGCAGGTGAGACTGGAAATTCAATAAATCTAGGAGCCTTTTTCATAGCTAATTTTTAAGTTGATAATTTTGTATGGCCCATGAATGACGTTATAATATCCAAATGGCCCTTGGCAGAAAAAAGGTTCCTCAACCCTGATCTAAATAGTTTTAGAAAGCTAGGTGGGCTAGAAAGAATAAATTAGAGATAGTAGTGAGAAGGCTGTTACAAGAGTCTAAATGACAGCCAACAAGGCATAAAGAGAGGCAGTAATGGTGTGGGGAGAGAGAGGGGGGCAACAGACAACAACCTAATGGTCACAGAAGGATGCCTTACTCCTAGGCCAGTGGTCATAAGGACAACTGGTGGTACAGCCATTCCCCATTCCCCTGCCTGAGACACAGCTCGGCATGGAAGGCCACTGGGGACAGACTCAAGGAGACAGAAACCTGGTCCTTGTTGCCCTGCCCTGACAGGAAGGCTCTGGGAGAAAGATATGACAAGACATAAGGCATACATAGCACCACTGAGAGTCAGCTACAAGAGCTACAATCCCCAGTCATGAAACTGTGACACCTCCCGCATTCAGAAATGGGCTCAGGCTATGATGGGATATATATATATTTTTTAAATCCTCATCTGAGGATATTTTTTCCATTGCTTTTCAGAGAGAGTGGAAAAAAGAGGGGGGGGGGAGAAAGAGAGAGAGAGAGAAACATCGATGGGAGAGAGACACATTAATTGGTTGCCTCCTGCACGCACTCCGACTGGGACCAGGGACTGAGCCTGCAACCGAGGTATGTGCCCTTGGCTGGAATCAAACTCGGACCCTTCAGTCCATGAGTGGGTGCTCTAACCACTCAACCAAACCAGCTAGGGCTATGATCGGACATTTTCAAAGTCAAATCATGCTTGGCCTGTCTGTGAAACTGTGTGCCTCATGCATCACAAAGGAGAATGAGAAGAAAATGGAGATATCTGAGAAAAGCATAGAATTGCCATCACACCAGCACTGGCCCACAAAACCCATTCTCCTCAAGTTCCTTCCTTTGGAAGCATCACTCCTTAACCTTTTTTATGTTCACAGACAGTTCTAAGAACCTGCTAAAAGCTACAGTGGCTTTTCCAAAAAAAAGCACAACTTTTCAGACAATTTCAGGAGGTTCCTGGGCTCCCTGAATACATCCTTGAACTCCTGAGAGGTTAAGATCTCCTTGATTTACAGGGAGCCTATCAAGACAAGGAAAATAAATCCCAAGCATATAAGGGTTGCTTCCCTAACTACTCTCAAGGTGTCCTCCCTGAGTAGCAGCCAAGTGCCTCAGACAACTTAGGAAATTACATAGTTCTTATTCACTCCATGGTTCTGCCTAAAGTCAATGCTTCCAAATTGGTCTCCAAACCTGCTCCAATCTATCCCCCCATCTCCACAGTGATTAAAATAATCTTCCTGAAGTATAGCTTTGATGAGAATAATGTCAAAAGTAAGATACTGTATTTATGAGTGCTATATTGAAGGTATTATACTAGGTGTTTAACGTGCACCATTTCACTTAATCCTCACCACAACCCTATGAGGCAGGAGAACCCGAACTCCAGAGCCAGTCTGACCGGATCTCAAATCCAACCTGATGGCTCATTAGTTGTGTGACCTTCAGCAAAGTACTCAACTTCTCTGTGCCTCAGTATCCTCATCTGTAAAAACAGTCCTCACCAGATAAAATTATTGTAAGGGGTAAAGAAATTAATATAAGTCAAATACTTAGAACAGTAGCTGACACAGTGAGCTATAGCTATCCAATACCACATATCTAATAAGTGATGAAGGCAGGGTCCAATCTCACTTTTTTGACTCCAAAGCCCATGCTTATAACCACTGTGTATTACTGCCTTTCCCTTACTCAGAAGCCCTTTCCAGTAGTTCTCTAAAACAGATCTCGGTAATTTAGAGCAGTATGAACTAAAGGGCACATGGTATGAAGCTACCCAGTCCTGGCAATTCCAGCTATTTTTAAGCAACCCTGGCCCACCAGAAAAAAAAAATCCACTTTCCCCAACCTACAAGCTCCTGGCATTCAAGATTCCCACATATGGTCTCCATATACTTTTCCAGCCTCATCTATTACTACTCTTAAGCATAAAGCCTTCCTTCAAGCCAGTTACTAGGACTATTACAAAAGCCTCCTAATTTATATCCCCATTTCTAGCCTTGCCCCTCTCCAATCTGTTTTCCACAAAGCAGCCAAATGATTCTTTTAAAATACATTTTTATTGATTTTTAGAGAGGAAGGGAGAGAGAAACATCGATGAGAGAGAAACATCACTGATCAGCTGCCTCCTGCATGCCACCCCCTACTGGAAATTGAGCCTGCACTCCGGGCATGTGCCCTGACTGAGAATCGAACTATGACCTCTTGGTTCCTGAGTTGATGCTCAACCACTGAGCCACACAGGCTGGGCCAAAATGATATTTTAAAAATTCAAATCTGGTCATATCATTCCCCAACTTAAAACCTTTCGAGATTCCCTCTTACCCTTAGAGAAAAAGTCCAAAATCCCATATGGTCTATAATACCTTTATGATCTGGTTCCTGTCTGCTTCTGTGGCCTCATATTTAGCTTCTTATCCCCATCCTACCCCCATGCCACCAGCTTTAATTCCCACTCAGTTTTCAGGTCTTAGCTTAAATTTCACATCCTCAGAAAAGACTAGGTTATATCTCCTAATTATAACATCTTGCACTTTTCCTTTGTAGTACTTATCAAAATCATAAATAGGTGTGTTTTTTTGGTTTTTTTAAAATATATTCTTATTGATTTCAGAGAGAGGAAGGGAGAGGGAGAGAGAGATAGAAACATCAATGATGAGAGAGTCGTCATTAATCGGCTGCCTCCTGCATGCCCCCGACTGGGGATCGAGCCCGCAACCCAGGCATGTGCCCTGATCAGGAATCAAACCTCGGTCTCCTGGATCACAAGTTGATGCTCAACCACTGAGCCACGCCGGCTGGGCAAAATGATAAATAGATTTGTTTTGTTTTATTTCTTAGAATAAATCTTTATTGATTTCAGAGAGAGGAAGGAAGAGGGAGAGAGAGAGAAACATCAGCGATGAGAGTCATTAACCAGCTGCCTCCTGCATGCCCCCGACTAGGGATTGAGTCCCCCACACCTGGCCGGGCAATATAAGTAGTTTTTTAATAGCTGTTTTTCTCACTAGACTGTAAGCTTCATGAGGGTTTGTGCATCCATAACCTAGGCACTTAAGAATGCCTGGCATTTGGTATACAATAAAAGTTTGTTGAATCAATCCTTCAAAGATCAATTCCACATTCTATAACTAATACTGATCTCTCCTTTTCTCAATTTATAAAGCACTATTTAGCATTTGATTACAGAGTCTTTTTTCATTCAACTTCATATACAACTGAGCATTGGATCAGAAAACCAGAAGTTTTCCTTTCTTTTTCCTGGTCTTATACTAACTCTGTGCCCCTAGGCAAGCCCCATTTCCCAGGCAAGTCCTTCTTCTTTGGTACCATGAGGTTACTTGTTCTACTCACTCTGATGGGTGGTTATGAGGGAAAAATGATAGTGGTTGTAAATAACACACATTTTACTGGACAGGGTACAGTAAATGCTCAAGTCAGAGGTGGTTGTTTTCTGTAGGAGGCAGCAGATCAGAGTAGTTCAAAGTCTAGGTTCTGATGTCAGACCACCTGAATCTAAATACTTGCGGTACCACTTACTATCTAAGGGACCTAAAGCAAATACGGACCTTAACTTCTCTGCACCTCAGTTTCCTCAAATGTAGAGGAACATTATTACCTCTGAGGGCTGTTAACAGAACAAAAGGAGATAACATACATATAGCACTTAGAGAAATGACTAACAGATATAAGCACTCAGCAAGCATTAGCAATATTATGATACCTATTAAAGAAGGCAAGAGCTGGGCCCAGCGGATGTGGCTCAGTGATTGAGAGCACTGACCTATAATCCAGGAGATTATGGTTTGATTCCAGGTCAGGGCACGTGTCCGGGTTGAGGGCTCGATCCCCAGCAGGAGGCATGCAGGAGGCAGTAGCTCAATGACTCTCTCTCCTCACTGATGTTTCTATCTCTCTCTCTCCCTCTCCCTTCCTCTCTCTAAAATCAATAAAAACATATTTTTTTAAAAAAAGGAAGGCAAGAGCTGGGTCTCTTCCTGTTTATTTCCAGTAGACACTCAGGACAGCCCCAGCCATGGCTCCAGATCCTACCTGGCAGGGGGGAAACGGCTGACATCCCCTCTGGTGAAAGTGAAGCATCGAAGGTTTGGACTGCAGGCCCAGGAAGCTGGGGATGGAACTGCCATTTGACCACTCTCAGGCCCCAGTTCCCCATGGGAGTGGGCTTTATTCACAAAATCCCTGGCATGCAGCTGCTCCAGTTCAGCACTCACATGATCGCAGGCAGCAAAGTTATTAACCAGTGCACCATACTTCTGCTCTGAGAGAAGACTGACCCGGATGGATGGCCAAAGATCCCCAAACTGCACTCCATAGGTCATGTCAAAATACTGCAAAGCCAGTCGAGTAGCAGGAAATTTGGGTTCTGTGGCAGCCTGAAAGGGAAAGAACAGGCTTGTTTTCCAGTCTTGCCTCTATCCCCTACTGCCCAATCCCACCAATATCTCAGATCTCTAGAGCTAATGTGGATCCAATTAGTGCCCACTCCTGCCTTTGGACCCTGCCTCTGCCTGCCAGAGAAGTGTGGAAGAGAAAGGTAGTGAGGAGCTGGTCTATCTCAGTGGTGTGAGAGAAAGGAAGTTCTAGTTCTCATAATAGCATGTGGGGGCCACCAAGAAAGGGGGCACTCCTTGAGAGTGAGAAGAACTTAACAGAATGGGAGCTCAGAAGAGGACCCTTGAGGAAAATCTACAGAAGACTGGAAGTAACTGTGGAGGCCTTGGGGGAAGCTTCAGGCTTAAAAACAAAAGACCCTTCCTCTCTGAACAGTCCTTCCATTTTCTAAAGCACTTTCATGTCTCCTAGCTTATGTGAGCACCACAACAGACAGTTCAGTGGGATACAAAAATATCAACCTTCCACATTTGATGGAGATGAGGGTAACTTACCTAAGGTCAGACAGTGGCAAAATCCATAACGCAATCACAGGGTGGAGGATCATTTTGGGAGTGTTTCCAGACCCCAAGAAAGTAGGCAAAGGAGAGCTCACAGAAACGTGAGGTATAAACCAAATGGGAACTTCTAGGATGACTGCTATGGGGGTAGCAGAGAGGGACATCAGTCAGCTTGAAGAGCATAAAAGTAGATTAAAAGGAAAATGAAGAGCTCAGCTGAGGAGTCCATCAGTTGGTCCTGATTGCCACAGCTGGATGCTTATTATGGCTGGCAGTCCTGTTCCTGTTTGTGAATTTTGCTTTGGACTGGATTTCTGGTTTTGTCAGAACTCTTGCTCTGGCTCTCATTTCTCATTATGGTGGCGATTTTTGCTCCGGCTCTTGCTGTGATGGGTGCTTTTGCTCTTTCCCTGCCTTTTGCCATGGTGGGAACTCTTGTTTTTGCTCAAACTTTTGCTATGAGGGGCACTCTTGCTCAGGCCCTGGCCTTTTGTATACTGGGGACTCTCACTCTGACCCTAAAATATGTCATGTTGAAGATTCTCACTCTGATATTCATTTATGTTTTGATGGGAGCCATTGCACTGGCCCTTATTTCTGTTTTGATCAGGACTCCTGAACTGGCTCTGACTTCTGCTAGGATGGAAACCCTTGTTTCTACTCCAGCATCTGCTAGAATGGTTGGGACTCTCACACCGGCTCCGACTTCTGCTTTGGTGGATATTCTTGTTCTGGCTGTCACTATTCTGGCATTCACTAGCAGTAACAGTCGAACTACAGCTGGGATTACTGCTACAGCTGGAATTCATGGATGAAGGCAATGGACAGCTGTAGGGTATCTGGCGGGGTTCTTTGCGAGAGCCTTGAGAAGCCACAGAATAGATGTGGAGGCCACAGGGCACAGTATTAGGGTAGCCCCGGGGTTGGGGGGCAATGGGTAAACTTCGAGAGTCAAAAGGTGTTCTTAAAGGAATAAAAGAATAGATGTGGGTAGAACATGCAGGTTCTGCAGGCTGACGAGGGGGTTTAGATGGACCCCTGGGAGTGCCATAGGTGCTACAAGGGGGCACCATGGGTCGATTATGACACTGAAGGGGACCAGTGGAACCAGATAGTGGGCAGGGATCAGGGGTGGGAGGAACCACAGAATATATATGGGTACAGCATGGGGCTCCTTGGGGGAGTCCATGGGAATGGCTCTGAACATAAATATTGGGTAAGGTAGGATCACAAGGAAGACAGAGGGGAAGGGAAGTGGGGTTAACAGTTTTGAGGGCTCGAGGGGCCAGAGTAGGTAAGACAGTCCCTTTGGGAAGTTTTTTGGGGCTGGAATTTGAACAAGTTGTGATGGGTGTCACCATACAAGGACCAGAGAGACCAGAAGGGCAGGAGGGAGGTGGAGTAGGGGTGCTGACCTTAGGGGGCTTGGGTTGGTCAGGAGGAGTATCCTGGGCAGAGTTGACTGGGGAGCAATGTCTGTGGGAAGCACATGGCTGTTTTAACTCTGGGGACTTGGTGGACTTCACTTGGGGGCAAACTGGGATAAGGAGAGGGGGTTCATTACAGCTTCTATGGGGAGTTGACTGAGGTGGAGATATAAACTGGTTGCCCAGGGGTGAAGGTAAAGAGAAGGCAGAATTAGGACAGTGAGAGGACAGGGGAAGAGGTGGTTCCTGGGAAGAGGAAGAACAAGAAATTGGGGTGCCAGAAAAGAGGTAAGGGCTCCCACCAGTCTCCTGGGAGAAAACAGGCTCAAAGCAAGGCTTCCTGGGAGCCGGGGACTGGGGTGAGCAAGAAGAATCAATAATTCTAGGGGGTAAACAGATGACACGATAAGGGCTCCCAGGGGCAGATATGTGGGTCTCTGAGAAAGGATGGGAATAGTGACATAAGCCCTCCTGAGGTGAGCTAGGACAGCCAGGTGCATTTGCCTGAGAAGAAAATGGGGAGCCACAATAGCTGTTCCCAAGGGGTGGGTCACGCTGTGATTTCGGTTCACAAGAGTCTGGAGGCTTAAGACAGCCAGTGGGTGGGGAAGATGCTGAAGGAAGGGGATCATTATAACTTTTCCCTGAGGACCAGGGAGGGTACAGAGGGGAGATCTGTGAGCCCTCCAAAACCCTGTGAGAAAGGGGTGGGGAAATTATAGGTTTATATTCCATGGGTCGGTGACCAAGGAGAGGTGATGTAATGGAGCCAGTTTCCAAAGGAACACGAATGCGGGGAAGGTAGGTCTCGGGGCTTATCAGGGCTGAAGGGTGTTGAACAGAGTAACAGAGGTAAGTGTTCTGGTCAATGTAAGGGCTTCTGGGACAGGGACAAGGTGTTCTCCTAAAGCTGCAATAAGGGCTCTGCGTAGGGAGAGGGGTTGACCCCTTAAGTCTGAACCGGGGCGAATCCGAGTGGATAGGCTCGCAGTATTGCCTTCCGAGGAGTGGAGAAGAGGGTTCAAAAGAACATCTCGCCAGGCTCAGGGGAGGTTGTGGGGGTGGGGAGGGAATCGGTTCGGGTAGGGAGTCGGGCCTGGCGGTTTTGGAAGAAGTTCCAGGACTACAGGTGAGGCCAGTGAAACGGTCTCTGGAGAACTGGGGACAACCCAGATGAGTCGAGTCGGTGCCCCTTTTGCCCGGGTTTGGGGAAGGGCCGGAGGTATGGGCAGGGTGATTGCTGTAACCTTTCCTGGGCGCCAGAGGCGGCTCGACAGCGAGGAAGGGGTTGAATCCTTTCCCGGAGGGCGGCGGAGGTCCAGAAAGAAAGGGGAGGTCGCTCTGGCCTTTTTCGCCTGGTGAGGGCGTTTGGGCTGGAAGTTCTACCGGGAAAGGAGTAGAAGAGGTCATGCGGGAGGGGGTTAGGGGAAGAGGTAGGGGAAGAAAGAGGGGGAGGGAGGGGGAAAGGGGGGAAGGAAAGTGGAATGGGTAGTGGGTGTCAAGGGGAAGACGACCAAGGGCTGGGAACAAGAGGCGGTGACGTGACTGGCAGAATGAGGACGCAGGTGATGACGTAACTTAGGCGGCGACAGAAGGCTGCAGACGTAACAAAACTTGTCAAGATTTGCGGCGAAATGAAAGAGCTGACAGAGGCGGCAACCAAACCGATGTGATAGGGAGGAGCTTAGTGACACCCCCTGAGGGGCGGGGAAAAGAAGCCAAAGGCTTCCAGAGGGGCGGGAGTAGCAAACCAAACTGAGCGAAGCGCGGAGTGGGAGGGCCGGAGAAGTTTCCCGAGGGGCGGCTGTCAGAGGCGGCTGTTACTGTTCCCTCCAGGCCTCCGGCTGGACCTTACCCATTTCTTCTTATGTCGTTGTCTCCGCAGGACCTTCGCGAAGTCCGCTCGCTTCAGCAGGTCCCGAACACCGCTCACTACCAGCGCAGCCATGTCGGCAGCGTGCGCCGCCGGGTCATTCCGACCGGAACAGCAACGCGAGACTCCTGGGTTCCCGGGGGCGGTGCGGAAAGGGGGAGGGGCTTACGGCTGGCTGTTCCCCGGGCTCCGTTTACCTTTACTTCTCAGGTGCAAACCCAGCCCCTCCAACGTTGAGGATGCTGGAGAAGAGCTACCATTCGCACGGAATGGGGGCTCCGCCTGGGTGCTTGGAACGCTGGGAGAGACTACGTAAAGGTCCCTACCCCACTGGAGGAATCAGGAGGATCGGGAGCTGGCAGATGAGTACCGAAAGTGTTAGCTAAGCAGAAAGGGGCACGTACCTGGGTTTTCCTTTGCCTTCCGTTGCCTTGTCCTACTCGTTATGATTCACTGTTGAATCCAAGTAGTGGTAGTATAAACATCCTTGCCTAGTTCCCATTCTTAGGGAAAAATCAATCAATACTTCACATTATATTAGGTGTAGTGTTGTTTTTAAGAAGTTTCCTCCTATTTCTAGTTTGATGAGATTTTTTTAGCAGCAAAGCCTTTTTATGAGGTTTTTATTTTTTAAAAAAACAAACATGTTTTTTATTGATTTCAGAGAGAGGAAGGGAAAGGGAGGGAGAGACACATCAATGATTAGAGTCATTGATCGGCCGCCTTCTGCACGCCCCCTACCGGGGACCAGCCTGAAATCCAGGGCATGTGCCCTGACCAAATGGAACCATGACGTCCTGGTTCATAGGGTGACCCTCAACCATTGAGCCATACCGACCTTGGCTGAGATTTTTTTTTTTAATCATGAATGGTTGTTGATTTTTTTCAAATGCTTTTTCTGCATCTATTGAGATGGTTGTATGGTTTTTCTTCTTTATTCTTTTAATATGATGAATTATACTGATTTTCAAACGATGAACCAACTTTGCATCCCTGAAAAAACACTAGTTTATGATGTATTATTATTTTAATACATTGTTGTATTCTTTCGTCTGTGTTCATGAGGGATATTGGGCTGCAATTTTCTCTTTTTGTAATGCCTTTGATTCTGATATCAGGGTAATGCAGGCCTCATAAAATTAGCTTGGGAAGTATCTGTTCATTTCTATTTTCTGAATTTTTATTCAATTGGTATTATTTCTTCCTTAAATTATTGATAGAGCCCTAGCTGGTTTTGCTCAGTGATTAGAGCATCAGACTGGGAACTGAAGGGCCCTGTGTTCAATTCTGGCCAAGGGCACGTACCTCGGTTGCAGGCTCAGCCCTGGTCAGGGTGTGCTGGAGGCAACCAACCCATGTGTCTCTCTCACATTGATGTTTCTCTCTCTCTCTCTCCCTTCTACTCTCTGAAAAGCAATGGGAAAAATATCCTCAGGTGAAGATTTAAAAAAATTGACAGAATTCAACAGTGAAGCCATCTGAGCCCTTAGAGTTGGTTGTGTCTTTTTTCTTGGGAATGAAGGGTGAGGAGAGGAAATGAAGGTTTTTTTCATAATGAATTAAATTTCTTTCCTTGGTACAGTGATTTTGCCACTCCTCTAGGGGATAGTTGGTAATATCTGGAGATACTTTGGGTTGTTGCAACTGGGTGGTATTTCTCTCAGTGGGTAGATACTGCTGAAAACCCTACAATACACAGGATAGAGAATTATCCCCCACACGCAAAGAATTATCCAGACCAAAATGTCAGTAGTGCTGAGGTTGAGAAACCCTGATTTAGGGCTATTTCAATTTTTTAAAAATCCTCACTCCAGGATATGTTTTTATTGATTTTTTAGAGAGAGCACTGGGGGGTGGGGGGTGGGGAGAGAGAGAAACATCGATTGGTTGCCTCCCCTACACACCCCAACCAGAGAGTGAAATTGCAACCTAAGTATGTGCCCTGACTGGGAATTGAACCCACAACCTTTTGGTGTACAGGATGATGCTCCAACCAACTGAGCCACCTGGCCAGGGCAGGGCTATTTGAATTTTCTAATTCTTCTTGTACTAGTTTTGACAATTTGAGTCTTTAAAATAATTTGTTCTAACCCAGCCAGGCATGGCTCAGCGGTTGAGCATTGACCTAGGATCCAGGAGATAGCAGTTCAATTCCTGGGCAGGGCACATGGCCGGGTTGCGGGCCTGATCCCCATTTGGGGCGTGCAGGAGGCAGGTGATCAGCGACAACTCTCATCATTGATGTTTCTATCTTCTCTTTCCCTCTCCCTTCTCTCTAAAAATCAATAAAGACATATTTAAAAATAATAATAATTTGTTCTCCTCTAAACTGTCAAATTTCTTTGCATAAAGTTGTTCAGAATATTTTATTATTTAGTGTCTGTAGCATGGGGCATCAAACTACAGCCACAAGCCAAGTTCAGCCTGCAGCCTATTTTTTGAAAAACTTTTAACACAACCACACCTTTCATTTACTGTGGCTCCTTTATTGCTACAAAAACAGAGTTGAATTGTTGTTCTAGAGATATGGACAACCCCAAAAATATTTATTTTCTGAATCTTTACAGAAAAAGGTTGCTGCCCCTGATTTGTAGGATCTCTAGTAATGTCCCTGATATTGGTAATTTGTGTCTTCTCTCTTTTGTACTTTCTCAACCTAACTGGAGGTTTATCTATTTTATTGAACTTTTCAAAGAACCACCATTGGTTTTGTTGGTTCTTCCTTTCTCTTCTATTTCATAGATTTCTGCTCCTATCATAATTTCTTTCTACATAACTTGTTCTTTTTAAATAAGTTTTTAAAATACAATAGAATATCTATTATATTTACCTATGTATTTACCATTTCTGGGACTGCTCATTCCTTTGTGTAGATAAAAGTATTTTTTTTTTTCTTCCTGAAGAACTTTAATATTTCCTCTAGTCCAGGTCTGCTGACAATGAATTCTCTCAACTTTCATTTGTTTAAAACACCTTTATTTTTGCTTTAAGGATCTTTTTACTAGATATAGAATTCTTGGGTCAAAATTTTCTTTCAGTTGAAAATGAGTTGTTTCTTATGAAAAGTGTGAAGTAATTCTTTGTGCCTCGGTATGTAATACGCCTTTTCTCTTTAAGATTTTCTATCACTGGTTTTCAGCAGTTTGAGGATAAGTGACTTGGTGTGATTTCCTTTGTTTATTCTGTTTGGAGTCTGTTGAGCTTTTGGGAACTGCAAGTTTAGAATTTTCATCAAATTTGGAAATTTTCAGCCATTAACTGCTTCAAATATTTTTTCTCCCTGCTCTGCTTCCCCACTTTCCTTCCCTTCTGGGCCATTTGATATTGTCCCACAGCTTGCTTTTTCCTTGTTCATTTAGTGTTTTTTTTTACCCTCTTGTGCTTCAGTTTATATAGTTTCTGTTGCTATCTTCAGGAACATTTCAGTACACCGATTTTTTTCCTTCAGCATCCAATTCTTTGTTAATCTTATCCAATGAATTTATTTCAGACATTGTATTTTTATTATTTTTTTAAATCCTCACTCAAGAGGATATGTTATTAATTTTTAAAGGGGGAGGTAGGTAGAGAGACAGACAGACAGACATTGGTTGTCTCTTGTACACCCTCTGACTAGGGATCAAATCCACAGCCTTTTTTCTGCCAAGGGCCATTTTGATATTTATAACATCATTCAAGGGCCATACAAAATTATCAACTTAAAAATTAGCCTGCTATATTTGGTCAAACATTTAATTGACTTACCCCTAATATGATGGCTGGAACTGCTTCTCTTTGGTGAGGTCTTGGCAGGGCCAGACCAAATAATTTACAGCCTGCAGGCCAGACATTCCCCACCCCTGGTGTACAGAATGATGCTCCAACCAATTGAGCCACCCAGCCAGGGCAGATATTGTTTTGGGTTTTTTTCCAGATATTGTATTTTTAAGCTCCAGAAATTCTATTTGATTCATTTTTATATTTTCCACTTCTTTCATTATATATATACATTTAAATACATCTCTATTTCAGAGAGGAGAGGGAGAGAGAGATGAAAACATCAATGATGAGAGTCATTGATCGGCTGCCTCCTGCATGCCCCTGACTGGGGATCGAGCCCGCAACCCTGGGCATGTGCCCTGACCAGGAATCAAACCACGATCTCCTGGATCCTAGGTCGAGGCTCAACTGCTGAGCCACGCCCGGCTGGGCTCTCATTATATTCTTGATTTCCATTAAATCCTTCAGCATATTTATAATGCAATTTCAAAGTCCTTGTCTACTATTTTATTATCTCTGTCATTCTGGGTCTATTTTTATTGACTGTTTTTCTCCTGTCACATTTACCTGCTTCTTTGCATTTCTAGCAATTTTTTAAAATGTTTTGATTTCAGCCCGGCAGGCGTGGCTCAGCAGTTGAGCATCGACCTGGGATCCAGGCGATCGCGGTTCGATTCCCATTCAGGGCACATGCCCGGGTTGCGGGCTCGATCAATGACTCTCTCATAATTGATGTTTCTGTCTGTCTCTCTCCCTCTCCTTTCCTCTCTCTGAAATCAATAAAGATATATTAAAAAAAAAAAGTTTTGATTTGAGAGAGAGGGAAGAGAGAAACATCAATGATGAGAGTCATTGATCGGCTGCCTCCTGCACACCCTCTACTAGGGTTCAAGCCCACAACCCCGGCATGTGTCCTGACCAGGAATCAAACCTGGATCTCCTGGATCATAGGTCAGTGTTCAACCACTGAGCCACGCCAGCCAGGCATAGCATAGTACTGTGTAATTTACATTGTTGAATGCTGGATTTTGTCATCTTCCTTTAAAATGTCTTTGTTCTGGCAGGCAGTTAGGTATTTTTGTGAATTGGCTTGATCCTTTCATGGTTCCTTTTTAAGATTTGTAAGTAGCCTCTCTCTAGGGCTAGTTGTAGCCCTATGCTTAGGTGTCCCCTTCTGGAGTTCAAGTTCAGTGTTCCAGGTGTTCAAAAAATTCAACAGGAACTCCCCACATTAGCTGGTCAAAACTCAAACATCTCCCAGGCCTCTGATACCCAGTAGTTCTTTGCCCAGCTACATGGAGTTTCACCCTACTCACTTGCAGCTTAGTACTCAGCAACAGACTCAAGCATCCACTTAGCAGAATTCTGGAGCTCTTTCTCTGCGTAATTCCCTCCTATGATAAAACTAGTAACATTTTACTAACCACTAAAATCTGAATAATGAATTTAGAAACGTTTACTATAAAATTTCAGCTTTGCTCTGTTCAAAAATTAAGATGTTTGAAAAACATCAGATTACATACAACAAATAGTGCCACCATTTGTGTATTTGTGGGATTATAAATCACTATGAAATGGGTTCCAAGTCAGAAATGGCTGGAAATGCTGGCCATCCCTCTAGCTAAGACAATAGGTTGAAAGAGCATCTAGGCTCAAGTGGCTCTTTGCCCCCCCCCCTTTTTTTTTTAATCCTCACCGGAGGATATTTCCTCCATTGCTTTTCAGAGAAGGGAGAGAAACATCAATGTGAGAGAGACACGTTGATTGGTTGCCTCCTGTACACGTCCTGACTGCAGCCGGGGATCGAGCCTGCAACCAAGGTATGTGCCTGCCGTCGGCCAGAATCGAACCCAGGACCCCTTCAGTCCACAGGTCGACCCGCTAACCACTAGTTGCAAACTAGTGAGCCAAAGCCAGTCCATACATGTGTATTATTTAGCCTAAAGCTTTCGAAAAGTTCACATTTAAAAATCAGATTTCACATAAAACTTGGATTTTTGGCTCCTTAACAAGTGATCAAGAAACACTGGATGTGCATTCTCACAGCAATAGCTGATTAAAGTGCAGAAGCAGTTTCCCTGTTACCACTCAGGTGGTTGAGTTTGTAATTGCTAGACCTTCGCTGTCTAATATGGTAACCACTAGCCACACGATTATTTGAATATAAATTCAAATCTTAATTATAATGAAAACTTAAAACTCAGTACCTTAGTCACATTAGCAACATTTCAAGTGCTCAAAAGCCACATATGGCTAGTGGCTAGCACACTGGATAATGCACAGTGGAACTTTGCTATTATTGCAGAATATTCTGCTGGACAGTGCTTACTTAGCCTGTCTCCCCAACTGGAACAAGGAACATTTTCCCTATCCCTTGAGCAACATACATTACTAGCAGTACTGCAGAGCCTCATCACTATTTACTGTTTTTATGGGAAAATGTCAAGGTCCAACACTAAACATGGGATTGTGATGGCTAACAGCACTAGCTATTAACTTTAAGTCTGGAGTCAGCCTCTGTTCTACACATTTGGGATTTACTAGGGTTTTTGGTTTTTAATAATTTCAAACCTTAACACTGATACATCACTGCCATCAAATATTTAGATTCTGTTTAAGTTTACCAATTGTCCCAATAAGGCCCCAAAAAGGATCCAGTTTAGAATCATGTATTGCATTCTTGCCTCTGTAGTCTATCTGGAACAGTTCTTCAGTATCACAACCTTGACATAGTGAGGGTTATTCTGCACAATGTCAAATTATATAGAATGTCCCTCAATTTATCTGGTTAGATTCAGCTTATCTATTTTTTGCAAGCATTAGTGATGCTTTTTTCCCTCATTGCTGTGGTAGTTATTTGTCCCATTGTTGATGTCAGCTTTAATCCAAGTTACTGCCTGCCAAGTTTCTCCAGTATACTTTCTCCTTTTGTAACTAACATGTATCCCTTTCTTCACCAAACTTTCAACTGATTCACTTATTTGCATTAGCATGGACTCATGAAGTCCTATTTTATTCAATGGACTATCATCTAATGCTGTCATCAACATATATATGTATTTTTTTAATCCTCACCCAAGGATGTTTTTTAATTGATTTGAGAGAGGGAAAGATCAGTTGGATACCATATGCGCCCCAACTGGGGATCGGACCCCACAACCTTTTCGTGTACAAAACAGCACTCCAACCAACCGAGCTGTCTGGCCAGGGCTGTCATATTTTGATTCTCAAATTGTCCCAGATTTGACTAGTGGTTCTGTGTACTTCTGACATGTTCCTGTTGTTCTTTGAGAGCTTCCTTCTTTCTGGAATAAAATGTTCCAAACTTCTCTTGTATTTTCCCTGCCTAGCCCTGGAATCACTTATTTCTCCAAGGGGCCCTGGTTCCTTTTATTGGAGAATGAAGCCCTCTTTGTGGGCTGAGCTAGGGAATATATATATATATATTCCCTGCATATACACATATTGGCGTCTACATTTACTTACATTGAAATCTATATTTAGTTTATACCAATACCTTAACACTGCAAGGTTCATTCCGGTTTTTTCCTTTTCTGTATTTGTAACTTCAATCTCTGCTAGTTCCCATTATCTTCAATATGTTTATTTACCGGCTCAATCCTACCTGTATGTATGTAACCAATCTCTCATTGCCAGCACCACCCTCTCAGGTGCCCTTTTCTCACCCTGCTTAGACTCCAATATCTTCCCCTTCACAAACCTACACCCTCCTCACTCCTTTTTTAAAAAAATGTATTTTTAAAGAAAAGCAACTTTGTTGGACACTAAGACCAAAAACTGTCAAAAGACACTTCTGAAATAAGCTTTCGTATGAACTGGGTATTTAATAATGATATTAAGCAATTACTGTTCATTTTAAATGTGATAATGGCATCAAGGTAAATTGAAAAAATAAAAGTCCTTATCATTAAAAAGATACATGCTAGGTGAAGGGTACACGGGTTGATTATTCTATCCTTATGCTTGAAAATTTTAAATTAAAAAAAATTTCCAATTAAAATAAAGGTCTGCAGATCACTGGAATTTTATTAAGATGGAATCACTATTAATTATGTAGAAGCTACTTGCCTAACCAAAATCCATGAGGTGTTCACATGAACTTACAGTCACACAAATAAGAAACAAATGGCATATTCAAAACCATGAGGAAATATCCTGATGCCCAGGTGATGCCCAAGGGTGAATGAGTCAGCACATTTATTTCAAGCTGTTGAAGAGTTTGTGGGCCACCTAGATGAAGGAAAGAAAATTGTTAATTGGCAGCTTTAATGTCATGGCTTACAAGGTTCTTCATGACCTGGAACTGTACTGCCCTTTCTCTAACCACTCCCCTTCTCTCACACCTCCAGAGCCATAGTGAACTCCTGTCAGTTACCTGAATCTCCTTTCTCCTCTTTTCCAGTTTTTTAATCTTTTCCCTTAGAACTTATGTTAACATGAAAGCCTTCTCTAAACAAGCCCTATCCCCACACAAATCTGTCCCTCCTGTCTTCCCCACAGAAACTTATACCTCCCATATCACAGTGCTTATTAATTCCACAAATATTTATACATCTAAATACCAGATACTGTTCTAGGTGCCCAGTGAGTTACTTCAGTAAACACATCTCTGCTGTTTATGGAACTTAACAAAGTAACAGAGAAATATACACAAGGTCACTTCTGAAAGTGATTAATATTGAGGAAAATAAAAAGATGCATAGCATCTTTAAATATGGGATCAGTGAAAGCCATCCTGAGACTGTTATACCCAAGAGACTTACCAATTTACTAACTGTTCTCTGGCTCATAAAGGACATACCATCATGCCTATCCCACTCCCAGATCTTAACTTGGTACTCTGCTCATAAAAATATTTAAATAACATGAAACTTACCATTTTACCATTTTTAATAATACATTTCTGAGGCATTAAGTACATTCACACTGTCCTACAATCATTAATCTCCAGAACTTTTTCACCTTTATAAACTGACTCTGTACCCATTAAATAATAAATCCCCATTTCCCCCATCCCCTCAGCCCTTGGCAACCAGCATTCTACTTTCTGTCTCTAGGAATTTGACTATTTAAGGTATCTCATATAAGTGGAACGATATGTCCTTCTGTGACTGGTTTATCTCACTTAGGATGTCATCATGTTTCATCCACGTTGTAGCATGTGCAATTTCCTTCCTTTTTAAGGCTGAATAATATCTCATTTTATATATAGCTGATGCATATCTTTTCATATGTTATCAGCCACCCAATCAGTTTTTTGTTTTTGTTGTTAATCCTCACCCAAGGATATTTTTTCCATTGACTTTTAGAGAGTAGAAGGGAGAAGAAGGGAGGGGAGAGGAGGAGGAGGAAAGGAGGGAGAGAGGGAGGGGAAAAAAAAGACTTAAATTTCCATAACAAGATTTGAACTCACTGTGTGGAATTATCTTTAGACACTGAGGAGTATTAGGAGAGGAACTGATTACTGAGGACAATCATTTACTCNGGGAGGGGGGAGAGAGAGAGAAAAACATCAATGAGACACTGCACGAACCCTGACGGGCTGGGTATTGAACCTGCAACCCAGGTATGTGCCCCTGACCGGAATTTGAACCCGAGACCCTTCAGTGCAAAGGCCAACACACTAACCACTGAACAATGCTGGCCGGGGCCTGATCAGCTAAGCAACCATATCTAATTTTGCCTACCCTATAATTTAAAATACTTTACTATTATATGTAAGAGAGTCAAACACAAGTTTACTTAAAAAAAAAAACTGCTATGGACAAACTGCTATGTAAAAGATACATTGGAGGATATAAATTATATTAAAGAATAGCCTGTTACTGCCCAGTCAGCATGGCTCAGTGGTTGAGCATTGACCTACGAACCAGAAGGTCACAGTTCAATTCCTGGTCAGGGCACATGTTCAGGTTTCAGGCTCGATCCCAGTTGGGGGTGTGCAGGAGGCATCCGATCAATGACTCTCATCATTGATGTTTGTAGCACTCTCCCTCTCCCTCTGAAATCAATAAAAACATAATAAAAGTACAAAATCCAGCTTCCCCACTGTTAAGCAGTACAAGTTGGGATATCATTTCTCTTCTCTGAGCCTCAGTTTCTTATCTGCAAAATGGGGATAATGATACCTGCCTCCAGTGAAAGTAGTAAGATTTACTTATGTAAAGTGCTCATGCTGTACCTGACATCCATTGTGCCACAATAAATGCTAGGGTGGAAAGGTTGTGTCTTCCCTGGCCACTGTAAGCTTTCCCCCTTCCTGAATTTAGGCTGACTTACACAGTGGTCCCTCGCATGCAAGAAGTCAAAGAGCTCCTCCGTGCAATCCTCTTCTGTTTGTGACCTGGAGGACACACGCTGATCACAGAGTTCTAGCCGCTCCCGAGCCTTCACACATTTCTCCAACTGCTCGCATTGCTCTCTCACTGTTGTTAGGGGATCCTGATGGAGAAACAAACAAAAAAACAAAAAAATAGGAGTTTTAGGCATATGCCTTGATTAATACAACCACCAAACCAAGGTGCTGTCTCTGAATTACCGTGCAGAAGGCCAGCTGGCAGAACCATACTGCCGCCAGAAATAGCAGAATGGGGTCTCCCATTCAATTCTGATGCTAAGTAGTAGGGAAAAGTTTCACATTTCTGCCTTCCAAGGTTGCCAGTATGCACTGAAAGCCTCAGTCCTATCTGAAAAACAAGGTGGTAAAGGAAACCTGGCCAAACCTGAAGCAGATCTATAGGAGGCCTTACTTGTTAACACAGCATTCTGGGATATGTAATGTCTATGAATTTCAAGTCCCCTCATCTGATAGCAAGGCCTATGCACCCCAGCTGCCCAGCTACAAAGCCAATGTTAACACAGAGAAGGGCCATCCAAGAAAAGGTCCTTCCAGAATTCTTTATTAAACCACAAACAGCAGATGACTGAGTGCCAGGCCCTTAAGATGCTGCTCTGCTCCCTGACACAACTGGAGAAGCCCAAAACCCAGGAAGACTCAGCTTCCCAGGCCCACCACCCCCAAACGCTCCACTGCAAAGGAAAGGAGTATTAAAGGCCTTTTGCACTCCCATTCTTTCCAAGGTGTCAAATATAAAGACTCCTTAAAATGGCTCCACAGTTTTATGAAGCTCAGACTTCCTTTTATTGTGATGGTTCCAAACCTGAGAAAGTTCTTACCACTAATTCCTCCTCCTCCTCTTCCTCCTACAAAAGGAAAACAAAATTAATGTCAGCAGCAATTTTATGACATATGTATTCCCAATCATATTGATCTTGTATTTACTGATAGACATATTAATCATCTTTTTAAATTTCTGTATTTTATGATTCTTTAATATTTTAGGGGCCCTGACAATACTAGAGACAGTACCTTCCAGGGCTGGCTAATTTCTAGAGATGGCAAACAACATGCCTGGGGCATGCCCCTCATATGCAAAACAACTAATCCAAATCCCTTACCAATAACCACTTCCATTATCTAACTCTCCAACACTAAACCAATTATTGTCCCTGCCCTAATCATGACAGGGCCAAGTACCAAACAACTAGGGACCACCCTTGTAGCCCAGAGCCCACTGAAATGATTTAAACTATCCAATCCTAAACTTGCTAAAGCTTACCTATCCTGCCACGCCCATTCCTTCCCTTGGAAACCAAAGCTCTGGTTTCCCTAGTTCCTTCGCTCCTGACTGGTCCAGGTACTTCTCTAAATGGCCCTAGGTGATGTGGTCTTATTTACTGTAAGTTCTTTTAGGAACTATAAGTAATAAACACTTTCAAAAACAGTTGTCTCAATGTCTATAATCCTACCATATACGTGGTTAAAACAAATCCTGGGTACATTTCAATAAGGACATACTATTTCACTTTCATTAGCAACAATCTAAAGCATATACAACACTATAAAGTACATAAAGCACTTTCATATCATATCTATAATGATTTAATTACAAGAGCTTAAGGGTCTCCCAGTTGAGAGAGAACACTAATTAGACATTTTCTAATATGGATTCAAGCTGCCAGATGTTCATATGGAACCTTAAAAAAATATTTTGTTCTAAGTTCTGGTGGGTCCCATTATTACCAGAAATAGCTAAACTTAGTCCTTACATCCCACATCAAGTTAGGAGAAAAACTAATATTTTTTTCTAGATTCTGAACTTGAATTGGGAATATGAAAATGGCCAAACCTAAACTTTTTTTAGCCAGAGCCTAACTAAAGATGGTCACAGTCACTTCTTTTTGGCTTGCCAAAGTCCCAGGACTCTAAGTAGACTATCAATATAAGATGTCTACATGTCTCCATTCACAAGCTTGGAAACACCAGGCCCTTCCTATTTATTTCTAATTCTGGTGACAATCTCAAATTTAATTTCCTTTCTTCCAAAGGGAACAATGTAAAAAAACAAAACACCTCCCTGTGGTAGTATCAGCATAGGCCTACATCTGGGGCATAGCAGAGTATATCTGATCAGTATTTCAGCCTGTCATGCACATGTCCACATTTGGGAGAAGGGAAAGAAAAGGTATAGAGGGAAATAAAAAGAACCAGTTTAGCAATCCCTCATTGTTTTCAAATTCCAACACAACCTGGCTCATTCTCTACCATCCCCTTCCCTTCAGGGAAGGGACCAAAACAAAGCCCATGAAAGCTGGGAAGGGTAGGGCAAATTCATATGTACTCCAAGCTATTTATTCCCACAATTGGCAAAGGTCTCATAAACATAAAGATGTTATTTAGGATGTAAAATTCTAGTTTTTCATTAAATGCGGTTTCTTGACCTTGCTCTTTAAAAAAAAAAAAAATCATACTAAAGTTTTCCAAAACCAAACCACATTCTGCCTGAGTTAGAAACTAGAAATTAGTTATCTTAGGAGCAAGATCTTTATATCCTTTCCCTACTGGCAATACTACATTAATCATTTTGTGTCTTTGATAATTTTGTGTCAAAAGTATCATGGCTTGTTTTGGAAAAACAAATCCAAATACAAGTCTGATTATGGACTACTTTATGTAAAATTTCCAGGCAGTGAGAAAAACCAATGTCACATTAAATAAGATTTAATCTCCAAGAAGTATGGGTTTTTCGTAAAAGACCTCTGTTTCCTTAATTTTAAAATTAACTACTTACTTTCTTTTTCTCATCTACCACTGTGGTGTGCCCTACAGAAGCTTCTAGTATACTCCTTGAACTTCCTAAGAGTGGCTCCGTATCTTTCTGAAAATAAGACTAGGAAAAATTATGGGATAAACTAGTTTCTAACTATTCTGAACCCATAAGAACAACAAACTAGCTTCCCCAAAGTGACAGAGAATAGATAGGAAATGTGTTTGGAAACAAAAGCTAGCTGGCTTCTGTAAAGCTGTATAGCACTGTGGCTATGTCTTAGCTGCTTGGTTCAGATCCTGGCTCCATGATTTACTAGCTGTGTCCTTGGACAAGATATTTAATCTCTCTACGCTTGTTTCCTCATCTGTAAAATGGCAATACTAGTATCTAATACCTCATAGGACAATTGTGTGGCTTAAACGAATTAGCACATGTAAAGCACTTGAAATAGTAACCAGTCAATAAATAACTATTACTATATTGGCATTCTTACTCTGGAAAGGAGCTCCCTCTTTCATCACAGAATTATACTGCACATTCCTACACTGTCACCAAAGAAAGCTACCTCCCCTAAACCCCTCAAAGAGAAAGAAACCACTTTTTCACAGAAACTGGTGTAAAGCCAGATCTCCAGAACCTCCACAAAAGATGTGGCAGGGATTCCTGACCTGAGCTGAGGTCAGGGCTAGGATTGGTCGCTTGGTCCCCAAACATGTCAAATCAGAGACACCTAATTGACTAAAAATATAGATACTATTTTTTACTAAAGTAGTAAACACAGCATTTTCGCTATCGTTAAACCTTAACCACATTTATAGAATAGAGAGGTCCAGGCCCAAAGGCTAGTTATCTACTTGCCCAAGGTCACTCGACGAATTCTGGGGGTCAAGGGAACTAGCCCTCCCTACCCTGCAAACTCCAGGGGAGGGGG